GAATCGAGGAAGCCATACTCCAAGCACACCTCACCCCTTCACCCCTAAACGCCACAGTAGGCTCAACAGATGCTCAAAGAGAATTTCTAAATGAACGGCCTTAGATTCATACTGCCTGGCGTAGCCGGAGCCAGGGTTCTGTTTTATAGGAAACAGAGGGCAGCTCACAATATTTTCAACGGTGACAGTCCCGTGGCAGCAGGGTCAGCGGGGCTAAGTCTACAGAGGGAGACAGGACAGGGGCCAAGACAAGAGATGAAAAAGAGCAGTTGACTGAGAACAGAGCAAGAAAACAAGGGGACTGACCGTGCTGCCTCAGAGATGTCCCTCGGGTGCCCAGACTGGGGCGTGGCCAATGTCAGCTGACCTCCCCCCTGACCTGCTCAGGCTGGCGTGTGGCCCATGCTCCCCACCGAAAACACCCTTTCTGAGCAGAATCCCTGCCAAGAACCACCGGCAGCCCTCCTCGGACGTAACCAACCAGCAGCGTGGACAAGGAGAGTCCGCGGTGCAGAGAGCGGGTCTGAAAAGCAGGAAGAATCACGCAGGTCAAGCACACGGAGTGGTTTTGTTGGAACCACCAAGACTAGCCGTCCATACCCCCTGGTTCCCAAGGGGGGCGCTCCTGGGACCACCTGCATCAGCATCCAATTCACAAGGGCCCCCAACCCTCGCCCCATGATCCCAGGGCCCCTTTCCCAAGATTCAAACTCCGTTGGTCTGGTGATGGGGCAAAAAGACCCTCCTGGTCCCTGAGGCGCACGCCCTTGCAGGTGGTTCTGACACACAACCTCATGCACTCACTACTCATCCTGCCAGTGGGAATCAGCACCACTGTGTGCGGGCACACCTGCCAGCACTGGGGATTCAGCTGGGAGCAAAATCTGACACTGGCTGCGCGGGCTTCCATTCGAGAGGGAGGAGACGAGAAGTGTACCGCTCCAGGCCAAGGGAAGTTGGGCGGAGAGAACCAGCCAGGGCAAGGAGGTGGGGTGTGGAGCACAGGGGAGGAGGGGAGGGGGCTAGAGAACGTGTCTCTGAGGAGGGGATATCGGGAGAAAATGCACAGGTGGCGAAGAGTTCTCCGTGCCAGGGGCTGCAAGTGCACAGGCCAGGTGCAGACTCTAACCTTGCCCAGAGCACAGGGGGTGTGTGCCTTAGCCTCTGGGAGGTGATCTCTAGGCTGCTGGAGTGTCCTGCCAGATGGTTTACATGGTCAGCTGACCTCCCCCCTGACCTGCTCAGGCAGCCTTGGGCTGGCCAAAAAGGACCAACATGGCCTAGGGTGGGGGCTTTGGGCCACACTCTATTCATCACGGGGGAGGGCTGCAGACAGGTTGGTCCCCAGGGCAGTCAGACACGCCTCTAGGATGGCACCCCAATAAACACTCTGGACCACGAGGTTTGGGGACCTTCCCTGGCTAGCGATGCTCAGAGAATGCTGTCTTCTCATTGCCAGTAAGTGACGCTGTCCACGATGCCACGAGGAGACATTTGGAAATGCCACGTTCGGTGCCCTCCCGGGCCTGCCCTAGGTGCCTCCTCCCCTGGCTGATTTTCACCTGTGTCCTTTTACCGTGATGAACCATAACAGCGAGTATGGCAGCATTCGGTGAGTCCTGCGAGTCTTTCTAGTGTCAAACCTACAGGTCGTCTTGGGGACCCCAAACTTGTAATTAGTGTCAGAAGTGAGGGTGGGCTTGGGGGCCGGCCTCTCATATCACACACCTGGGTGGGCACAGGCTCAGTGGCAAGCCAAAAGGGGAGGCAGGAAGTGACGTAGCTGGGCTGCCCTCCCCCCCACCGCACGCCCGGGGACAGGCCACAGTGGCCTCGGGACCAGCTACTCCCCCAGCGAGGAGAAGCTGCTGCTGATGGCAGCAGACCCCGACTCAGGGGTACACCCAGGCCCCACATGCCCGGCGAACACGAGTGAACCAAGGGCAGCCGAAGCTCAGCCATGTATCCCCCGAGCCACCGCCCGCCCGTGTCTCTGTTGAAAAGGGCTCTAGTTGGTGATAACTAATATTTCCCGCACACTCCTCCACACTGCCACCGCAGCGACTAACAATCCACAGCCAGCCAACCCGCTTGCTTTGGAAAACGCCTGATAAAGAGAAAAACAGGCCACCAGCCTGCCTCAAGATGCTGCCTGCAGTCTGAGGGCAGGTAGAACCTTCCAGAAATTGCCCATCTCCTGGCACAGGTACTCCAGGCTGGCGGGACGGCCAGAGGAGCAGACAGCTCAGTGTCTCGCAGCTGGCCCTTCCAGGAAACTGGCGAAGTTGCAAGGCCCCCCTGGCGCAGCCCAGGTGGCCATCAGAGCCGGGAGCTGGGGGGGGGGCGGGGGCGGGCAGCAGTTTGGGAAGGCAGGTGACCTAGCCTGGTGTCTTAGTTTCCTACGGCTGCTCTAACAAAGGACCACAGATTTGGTGGCCCACACAGCACCAGTGTATTGTCTTACAGCCCTGGAGGTCAGAAGTCCAAAATCAGCTGCCCCGCCCTACGGTCACAGTGTTGGGAGGGCTGGCTCCTTCTGGAGGCTCTAGTGGACAATCCGTTTCCTTGCCTCTTCCAGCTTCCAGACGACACCTGCATCTTTGGCACCTGGGCCCTTCCAGCACCTTCCAAGCCCGCAGTGTAGCGCCTGCTTCTGTCATCATGCTGCACCTTCATGCGGGGGCAAATCCCTCTTGCCCCCGCTTCTAAGGATTCTTGTGCCGGCACTGGGCCCACCTGGGGTGACCCAGGATCATCTCCCAAACGAAGAGCCCTGTGTTATGTCCACAGAGTCCCTTTTGCCACATAAGGAGGTAATATTCCCATGGACACCTTGGGGGGCCATGACTCAGCCCACCACGCCTGGGTTCCCAGAAAGAGAGCCCAGGGCCAAGCTCACTGCTGCTCCCTTGCTGGGGTGGGGGCAATCCCAGGCTGGCAAGAGTGAGCAGGAAAGGAGGTGAGGCAGGTGCACCCCTGTGCTGACCACAGCTTCAGAAGAAAACCCATCAGTGCTCAGCCATGCAGCCTCCCGCCTGTGGAGCCGTGGCCCTCCCAACCACCCAGCGGGGAAGTAACGGAGAGGCTTTCATTCTCTGGTGCCTTCCGGTCCTGCTTTGTCTGATGGGGCATGGACTTGCCCGTGCTGCCAGCCCCTCTAATCAGCACACCCCATTCCCTGCAGCATGGCCCTTCAGCCGAATCCAGAATCCAGAAGAGCTGGAGTAGCTGAGCCCACACAGGTCCCATTGGGCTGGCCCCGGATGCGGAGACGCCGCGGACCCCTCCACATGGGCTGATGAAGGACAAGCAGCTGACCAGCCCTCACCCCATGGGGTCCGAAACAGCCTGCGGGCTTGGGAGCCACGGCGGCACAATGGAGGCCGGTGGGGCCAGCTGAATCTGAGAGGAGCATGAAGCGGCCCCCATCAGAAGGAAGGCGATCTGTTCATCTCACTACGCCCAGGGCCATGCATGGCACAAAACGTTCAGCCCGGGCTCAGCGAACAAGGTGCCAGATGACTAGACCCATTCAGGCCCGCACACATCGCTAACAGGTGTAACCGGGGGGTTACACCCGCAGTGAGTGGGGGGCGGGATGCCTCTCCCCTCTGTCCTCATGTGAACGTGAGGACAGCACCGGCTCTCCTGGGGGTGTTTCAGGGAGGCGATGCTTGTGAACCCTCTGGCTTTGCTCAAACGCTGGAGAAGGAGAAAGCCAAAAGGTGGTGTGTGGCAGTTAATCCTGTCAGCTGGACTGGGCCACAGAAGGCCTGGACACCGGATTCAACATTCCTTCTGGCTAGGTCTGAGAGGATGTTTCCAGAAGAGATGAGCATTTGAATTGGCAGACTGAGCAAAGCAGAGGAGCCTCTCCCAACATGGATGACACGGGCGGGCCTCATGCAATCCACTGAGGACCCGAATAGCCCAAACACGTGGAGGAAGGTGGGATTCACCGTCCCGGGCCTGCCGGCTGAGCTGCACGTCAACCCTGTCCTCGGCCCTCCTGGCCCGCCCGCCTTGGAACTACGGCACCCGCTGTGCTGGGTGTCTGGCTGTGGGCAGCAGATCGTGGGGCTCCAATCACGTAAGCCCATCTGTCATAGTAATTATAATATCTAGATGTAGACAGACGGACAGATGGGTCCACTCTGTTGGTTCTGTTTCTCTGGAGAAGCCCCACTGATACAGTGCAAACCTACTACGGAAACATCCCCCATACTCGTCTTTTGGTGGCTCAAAACAGGGTCACTTTCCTCACCAACATTCTTGTGTTCAGAGTAACAGAGTGAATATTCGAGGGAAAAAAGTTCTTAATAAAGTAAACCAGGTAATGTCAGTTGTTAGGAATCAAGGTTTTTGGGTGGACCCTAACACAGGCCTTTTCAAGGTCAATTTTTACCAGGAGACAATTTGGCAAAAGCATTCCTGATCTTGCGCCAGCCCCCATGAGAACGCGGTTCTGCGCCACGTCGGGTGTAGAAACGTTTTGAAGAGCACTTCTAATAGTCTGTGTCTGTGGCGTGGACTGTCACAGACAGCGTCCTCAAAGCCTGGGGTCACCTGTGTCTGCCTCGGGCTGCTGAAGTGAGAGCTTTAAACATGGCCACCTGCTCTGGCGCGGAGCTGGGTCTCACGTGGCGAGGACGCTGTCAGCACCCAAGGCTTTGCTCGTCTGGGGCAGGGGGCGGGGATAAACTCTTGAAGCCCCATTGTGGTTTAGATCAGAACAATCAAAACTGCAATCGGCACTCAAAGATGCACAGACACCACAAATAAAGCCTCACCGCTGAGCCAGGGCTCAGAAACCAGGCTAAGGAGACAGAAGCTGCCGTTGACACTCTGAATTAGCCACGGGACCCCAGCCCTCCCGTCGTGGCTTCCCTGACCCCGGGGACCAGCTCCAGGGCCCGCCCCTCGCCCTCCACCCCCCTACCTGGCCCAGCAGTCCGCCCACCACAGCCCAGAAGGAAGGTGCTGACCGAGGTGCTCCTTACCTTGACCAGCTCCTTGAATTTGGGGTCATCCTTGGAGGTGGGGTCAATCATTGTGCGCTCCTCGTTCTCCTCTGCCAGGGGAAGAGGGTCACGGTCAGCACTAGGGGGCGTGGCAGGGCTGTGGGGACAGCCGACTCCCCTTGCCCGAAGTCAGGGAGGGGGACCGAGAGCAGAGAAGCCAGTCATTCCCTCAGCGGGTCACGCATTGGGAGGACAGCACACACACGGGCTGAATCGGATCCATGGGAAAAGCTCCTGGCAGCCGCTGTTAATAAATACGTACACCGCGAAAGCTCCCCGCTCCGGAAAATAGGACGGACCAAAAATTTAGAAAAAAAATCGCAAGAAAAGAGGAAGGGGGTGGATGATGTTTCACAATAAAATGTGTTCATCGCTGTTCTGTTTGTTACCCGTTTTCCCTCCATGTTCAGGCCTCAATCTACGGACAGTGGGGCCCAGGAGCCGCTGCAGAGGGGCTGGCATGACAGTGAGGAAGAGGGGCTACACACAGGAAAGCCCCCCGACGGCCCGACACCGTCCCGAACAAAACCGGCCGCGCCCGCGTGGAAGGAGAGGGTGTGGGAGGCACTGCGGCCCGCACAAGGGGACGCGGAGGGGGAGGCCTCGGGACCTGAGCAGGGGAAGAGCCCGCAGGACACACAGGTGGCGATGACCAGGCTCCCACAGAGCTGGGGCCCCTGTCCATGCCAGTAAGAACAGAAGAGCTTTGAGAGGACTGGCTTCACAATTCACAGTAGCAAATTTTAAAACTTCACAAAATGGAAAACTATTTTTGGAGTCATACAGGTCTGATGCTTGAGAGGGATGTTCCAGGTAACACACAGGAGAACACACAGGGCTCCCTTGTGATGTAAGGCCCTCAGCAGCCTCCCAGTGCTCCTGGGACCAAGGCCAGCACCCGCCACAGGCCTCCAAGGCCCTCTGCAGCCTCACCTCCTCAGCTGTCCCTGGCACTCTCCACCCTCCAGCCCTTCCAGCCTTCCCTAGCTCCTCAGCAAGCGTCACCACTGCCTGCCACAGGACCTTGGCACATGCTGCTCCCTGTCTGATACCCTCTTCCTCCACTCCACATCCCCTTCACCTTTCAGATCTCAGTTCCAGGTGCTGATCAGGTCAGTCCTTATCAAGGTCACACGAGCTTCAGGACAAGCAGAACCTTATGGAACAAACTGAAGGACACCAACTCCCTTTGCCCAAGAACGGCTATTTATAAAGATGGCAAAACGAGGAGGGTTATGGCCCAGGGAAAGGCAAGTTCAAGGCATTATTGACAAAACAAGAGCCAGTCATGTGTTTAGGATAAACCTTCTAGCCCCCTGTTAGTCTAAATCAGGGTTCTCAACAGGAGCAACTGTGTCCTTCCCCCACCCCAGGGGGCATGTAGCAATGTCTGGAGACATTTTTGGTTGTCCCAGCTGGTGGCACCTCATGGGCAGAGGTCAGGGATGCTCAAACCCCACAAGACCCAGGATAGCCCCCATGGTAAAGAATTACCCAGTGCCAGATATCCATCCAGAGATGGAGCATCCTGTTCTGTGTCCAGCTAATTTCCAGACCCACGAGCGAGTCCCCAGTTTCCCCTTAGAGAGGGTCACCCAGGAGCATGCTCTTCAGCCAGACTGAAGATGACCAGCAGCATGAACAGTGAAGAGTCATGCTCTTCCAAGAGGAGAGGGGCCGCAGTGGACCTCAGCAGGATCTCAGGGTCCTCGTCCAGCACTTGGCTTCAGGTCCGCCAAGCTGAACCTGTTTGCATCTCTCCGCAAGCTCTTGCTGGCCTGGCCTCGTCGTGGAAACCACAAAGGAGGGACCAACCGGGACTTCCCTTTGAACCAGGGTTTAGAGATAATCAGAATGTTCCACAACTGCCTTTCAGACTGATCAGATCCCAAAACACGCTTTAAGAAAAATGTGTCCAGGGGCGCCTGGGTGGCTCAGTCGTTAAGCGTCTGCCTTCGGCTCAGGTCATGATCCCAGGGTCCTGGGATCGAGCCCCGCATCGGGCTCCCTGCTCGGTGGGAAGCCTGCTTCTCCCTCTCCCACTCCCCCTGCTTGTGTTCCCTCTCTCGCTGCGTCTCTGTCAAATGAATAAATAAAATCTTTAAAAAGGAAAAAAAAAAAAAAGAAAAATGTGTCCAGACTGTCACCTCATCAGTGCTGGCTGTGATGTGGTCTCAAGGAGGTGGGTACCGGGGCCCTCAGCACTTGGTGGGTCCTACCCAGCAAGCCCACGGCCTCGGGACAGCTCTGGCTTGCGCAGAGATTGGGGTGTATTAATTATGTTTCTTACTTTCTATATTTTCGAATGCTTTGACACCTTGGGGCCTGGGGACCTAGAGACACTGCCCCTCCCAGGGCCCAGGACACACCAATCAGGAGAGCCCCTAGAGCCCCCCGAGATTATCCCAACCAGCCAGTCCACACCTGCCTACACTGCCCCACCCAGTCCTTCCCACAAGAAAAGAAAGGCCACGCCTTCCCCTCACTCTTGCTTCCGGCCCAACCCTGATGTGCCCCCACCTCGGGAACTGGTGTATAACAAGCTGTCTTTTTCAGTGCTGTTCAACTCTCAATCCATTGGCCTCACCGTACGTTAACTACTAAGACAACTGACGCTGGAAATCAGACAGGCAGAAACTTACAAAGGAAGACTGGGTTTTCTTTCGTACAGACTTTTCTAAACGTGACCTTGAGCTAAGAGCCCATACTCTCGGATGCCACCTGGTGTGATGTCTGGTCACCAGGCCCTGGTGCTCCTCCTCAGCCTCACCAACCGGGGGAGCTCAGCAGCGTCATGACAGGGGGTTGGCAGAGCCCACGGTACCTAGCAGGGTGTCTTCGGGGTGGATATCTGCCGAGGCGGGGGACATCGGCGAGTTGATGGCATGTCTGCCTTCTTCCTGCAGGTCACTCACTGTCGAGAAAGGAAAACGAGGGTCAGTGTCAACGGAGTACCGTGGCCTCGCGTGTTGGCAGTGGAAACACGCAGGAATCAACTCCTGCTTTTTAAGCATTTAACAAACATTCCTAAATGGCCTGTCGCCCAGAAAGAGTCCGAACAAAAATGCTCCGAACTGAGAATACATTCTGCAGTTCTTCCCTCTGGCGCCAACTATTTCCTGATGCCCGCCAAGCCCTGCCAGTCTGTTTCCGCTGCTCTCTGGAATACATGACTAAGACACGGAAGCTTCTGGATGCTTCCAGATCCGCCCAAGCCTGCTGAGATAGACCAAGCTGGAACCGCAGAGACAGGGCCTGAAATGGCGGGCTCTCCCCTGCTCCCTGGAGAGCTGTGTCCTCAGCCATGGGATCCGGGGGTGGAGGCCGCTCCCAACGTGCACACAGGCAAGTCCCGAATTTTCAGTGATGCCATTGTCAATGGTCAGGTTCAAGGGAACAGAAGCCTGAGAGCAGGTAATGGCCAACACTGGGGCACTAGAATCTAACCAACCGGACCCGAGGCTTCGAGCTGGAGGTACCATGACGTGGACAGCATCAG